ATGCAGTATTCAATTGTATACTTTCTTTTGCCTTGCAGTTTCAAATGATATAAAGAATGTTGTCATTATTCAATCACGGTACATTTAAAGTGAGATCTTTCAATATTAAAGTGGCTATCCACAGTAAACGAGAATCACTTCTCGTATATCGATATATCAAACAAGGGACATAACTTTGCAAACAAGGGACATAACTGCTCCGTGGATCATAAAGTAAAGAATGCAGTGCATGGTCAGAGCTCATGGGCAAAATTTGGTAAGCGTTCCGCCCGTATGCCCCCGCTTGAAATGTCAAAGTGAGTGAGTGGGTATGGTTTTACGCCGCTTTTAGCAATATTTCAGCAATATCACGGCGGGGGACACCAGAAATGGGCTTCACATTGTACCCGTGTGGGGAATCGAACCCGGGTCTTCGGCGTGGCGAGTGCACAACGCTTGGACCACTAGGCTATCCCCACCGCCCCAGTGTCAAAGTGTAACTTGGTGTTGTTAGTGAAAATAAAAATAAAAGGGTTGGGTTAGGGTTAGGGTTAGGGTTAGGGTTAGGGTTAGGGTTAGGGTTAGGGTTAGTATGCATCAGAGCGGATACGAACTCACTAATACTAAAGATAAAAAAAACGGGGGCTACGGGCGGAAATTTTTCCCAATATTTTCCATTATGTTTAAATTCTTTGTCTTGAAACTATTTATATTTGGACTATCTTATGTTATTTAATGCACTGTTTTGTTTTAAAACCTGTGAGAAAGAGTCTCAAAAAGGCGAGGGAGTGTCCGGCAACTCGTAACTAACTAATATGCAACTACAAACTTTCACCTCACTGACGACCTAAAACACGTAAAACATCCTCGTTTGCATTCTCTTCCCACAGAGGTTACTTGTCATATCTTCCTGCGAACCTCTGTTCTAATACGGCCATATTTCTCGGTTCCCGTAAAATCCCCTAGCGGCAAAAAGTCGCAACACGAATTATCTCCCTGCTTTTTATCCAATCAGAACACGTGTTACGTCGACTTAGATCCAGCTTGACTAATACAAACAAATGTGGGGCCACAAATGTCCCTCATCAGCAGGGAATTGTGTTGATGTGACACACAAGACATTTTATGGCTAGCTTGTCCGTTGTCAACGAGGGCGATGGAGATGCCATTGATCCGCCATTACATAACTGAGTTCTGTCTAGAAGAAACGTTTGGGCATCGCGCAGAGGAAGAGGTTCTAGTTTTCCCGAATCATACGGAAATTACCGAGGCCTTGCGAATGCTCACTTTTGAAACAATGTCGCTGATTGCACAACTAAATCTGATTGCAACCAATGACGAATCCTGAACACTCGCACCATGAAAGGGCCGTATTAGGACAGAGGTTCGTAGGAAGATATGACAAGTAACCTCTGTGGGAAGAGAATGCCTCGTTTGGGGCCCAAGTCCTTTTCAAGAGATCCGGAGTCATGGATGTGCGTCGTACTAAGCTTCGGATCGGACACACTTCATCGGTAGTGCGAATACTTCTCATTGTTAAAGTGACGTGCAAATCACAGCATACGTTCAGCTTGTTTAGCTTGACCTGAGCTACTCTACATATGCATGACCCGGGAGGTCAAATGACACAAACGGCAGATCGGGTTATCTTCATTAAATAGGGGTGCAAAGAATGTTATTAATGTTGCGTTCGTGCGAAGCATGCATACATAGATTTGTTACAGAACTTGTCCCGGAAAACAACACTTTTGAAAACAACAACAATCATGTCATGTTTTAAATAAATTGTTTATACAGTCATATATGCTATCTTGTTTGGTTTGCTAACTTTACAACTTACAGACGTCAGTTACTTTCACAATCCGTTATCACTCTCTACACCCAGTTCAATTATCACTTTTTCTATTTCATGTTCAACTGCAATATTTCTGTCCCAGTAGTCGCTTTCCAAATTTTCAACATGGGCACAACAATCAGTCCACTCGTTTACACCAATCATCTGACATAGGTGCACCCCTTCACAATAATAGACCCAACCAGTTGTGACACGGTCACGCAATTCAATAGTATTCACTTGATCAGGCCAAGCTGAACAAGCTGTAAGGCTGATCGTCAACTACGTCATTCACGTGCAGCACGTGATTCACGAGAGGAGCACTGAGATTGATAGCGTGACAGTACCCAGGAAGAACGAGACTGTTGTAGAAGCTGCTCCGTCTGAAAATAAAAAAGAACAATTTTTAGTGAGTGAGTGAGTATGGTTTTAAGCCGCTTTTAGCAATATTCCAGCAATATCACGGCGAAGGACACCAGAAATCGGTTTCACGCATTGTACCCATGTGGGGAAAACGAACCCGGGTCTTCGGAGTGACGACCGAACAGTTTATTGAATAACTTTATAAACTTCATCCGCCGTAAGCCCTACGATGACTAAAACACCTTCGTTTGAGTGAGTGACTCAGTGAGTGAGTTTAGTCTTACGCCGCTTTTAGCAATATTCCAGCAATATCCCGGCGGAGGACACCAGAAGTGGGCTTCACACATTGTAGCCATGTGGGGAATTGAACCCGGGTCTTCGGGGAGATGAGCGAACGCTTTATCCACGAGGCTACCACACCGCCTCTCCTTCCTTTGACATGAGGCGACTGGGTGGTCAGGATCGGTGACATTTTGTTCATGATATCGATCACTGGACTGTCTAGTCGAGGCTCAGCGAAGTTATTAACAACCCGTGAAGATCCGGGTTAGAATTAATTTTTAGTAACCCATACTTGTCGTAAGAGGCCACAAACGGGATCGGGTGGTCAGGCTCGCTGACTTGGTTGACACAGGTCATCGTATCCCATTTGCGTAGATCGATGCTCATGATGTTGATCAGTGGATTGTCTTGTCCAGATTCGATTATTTCCAGACCGCCGCCATATAGCTGGAATATTGCTGAGTGCGGCGTAAAACTAAACTCACTAGTTATTAACAAATCACCCTTAAAAAGTTGGAATATTGCTGAACGCGGCGTTACAAACAAACAAGTACCGTAGTCTGACATTAGACAAAGTAATAGACAGATGGACCGACTCACAGACAAAGTTTGACCGAGATCGAACAAAGAGTTAACCATGCAATGTTATAACAGACATACCATTAAGTCCGGCCCCCTCAGTCATTCTCCCATTCACTCACTCACCCCCAATTTCTGGCGTCCCCCGCCGTGATATTGCTGGAATATTGCTAAAATCGGCGTAAAACGTAACTCACTCACTCACCACGATTTCATGACAAGTTCAAAACAACATCCTGAGTTATACCGTTGGTCCAGCAACCCCGCACTCTGGAAACTCAACGTATATTTACAAAACGATTTATGGCAATAATTCGGCAATCCGGAAACCTGCTAATCCGGAAGATTCCGAAAGGGAAATGTAAAAGAGAGATTCACCTCTTTTCACTGAATACCTTTTATCTCATCTTCGCATGTGATAATTCTATGTAAGCGTGCATTGTAATGATGTTGATATTTTGGCAAGATAACAAGGAACCAGTACCATAGTTATAGTTGGGCGTGGTGGTGTCCCCTTGACTCAGAGTGTTGGTAGTCGGGCTGGTGTTAGCTCCGTTTGCTGTAGCAGTAGTAGTAGTAGTAGTTGCTGGTGCTGTAGACGTTGTACCAGTGGTTGTTGGAGTAGCAGTTGTTGTTGTAGCTGCAGTAGTTGTTGCAGTTGTACCACCTATGTGTACATTGAGGTAGCAAATACCGTTAGTTGTCATCATGAAAACACTGGCTATGTCAACATCTTTTGTAGTTGTCGCGTTCACATCACTAAATATAGACCTTAAACTCATAAATGCAAATTGAATTGGCTCCACGAAGGAGCTTGGGTCTTCTAATCTTACATATGTCCCTTCTATCTTTAACTCATCTTACATATTTCTCGTCTCGTCTCGTAAGCACTGCACGTCTTACATAATTCCCTTCTCTCCTAAGCACGTCTTACATAATTCCCTTCTCTCCTAAGCACGTCTTACATAATTCCCTTCTTTCCTAAGCACGCCTTACATAATTCCCTTCTCTCCTAAGCACGTCTTACATAATTCCCTTCTCTCCTAAGCACGCCTTACATAATTCCTTCTATCCTAAGCACGTCTTACATAATTCCTTCTCTCCTAAGCACGTCTTCTCCTAAGCACGTCTTACATATTTCCTTTCCCTTCTTTCCTAAGCACGTCTTACATAATTCCCTTCTCTCCTAAGCACGTCTTACATAATTCCCTTCTCTCCTAAGCAAGTCTTACATAATTCCTTCTCTCCTAAGCACGTCTTACATAATTCCTTCTATCCTAAGCACGTCTTACATAATTCCTTCTCTCCTAAGCACGTCTTACATAATTCCTTCTATACTAAGCACGTCTTACATATTTCCCTTCTCTCCTAAGCACGTATTACATATTTCCGTTCTACCCTGTGCCCATCTTTCATATTTTCCTTTGGTCTTAAGCGCATTCTACATATTTGCCCTCTGTCCTGAGCCAATCTTACATATTTCTCTTTTAATTTACTTATTTTCCAGGCCATTTCTGAGACTAGGGAGGAAGGATGGCTGACACCATGGTGGTGCGTCCCATTAGCTCGAAATAGAACTGTGTTCGATTCTGATTCTGATTATGTGTTTTAGGTTTCTTTTGGTGGTCCTTAATGGCATAATTACAAAAATCCCATATCACTTAAGAAACTGTACAAGTGGTGGCACCGCAGATTGTCTATAAAGCGTGCCAGGAACTCATGATCGCGAGTTCGAATCCCAGAGTCACCCTGAATGTCATTCTAGGCTCGTCAGCACCATACCCGTACTCGTGTTTCACCCAAGCGGTAACAAGCTAAGACTTGCATTACTTCGGGTCTTTCTCCCCAATTAAGCAGAGAAACTGGAATTCTGTTAAAATTAGCGTTATGTCAGGATGTTATTCGGTTACAACATCCGCATAACCCTTACGTCGACGACGGCGAACAATGACCGCTACCAGATCTACTCACATCCAAAGTCCGACGTGAGCTGCTGTTTGAGGGTGTTCACCTCGGTAGTAGTCTCCGTCAGTTTGTCGCTGTCACAGATGGGGCTTACAGTAGTAAAACAGGCGTCATACACCTCCAGTAGGCTGAAAACAGGAGGCAGCGTTAAAATAAATAAGCATGTTTTGTTTGTGTGTTTGTTTGTTGTTTAACGCTGCTCTAAGCAATATTCCAGCTACATGGCGGCGGTCTGTAAATAATGGAGTCTGGACCAGACAATCCAGTTATCAACATCACGAGCATCGATCAATGCAGTTGGGATACGGTGACATGTGTCAATCAAGTCAGCGACCCTACCACCCGATCCCGTTAGTCACCTCTTACGACAAGCAATTCTAACCCGGATCTTCACGGGTCTAAATTAGGTGACTGTTCATAATATATGTAACGATGAAAATGCTTTCTGTTCACAAACACATTCACGCATACACACATACATGCACATGCAACAACCCTCTGTGAGAAATCACGCACACGCACGAACGCACGCACGCGAGCACATATCAATCTGCTCTGTGAGTGAGCATCAGTCTACACTTCCAACCGATACTAACATTTTATTGCTGGTCTCGAATACATCAGCAAAGACGACAACGACAATGACAACATCAACAACAACGACAGCGACGACGACATACTTCAATGACAATTGTATTTATCAGTTTGACATCAACTCACCTGCACCCAGCAGCCGGCAGTCTCAAATTTTCCGATGCGTTACAGCCCTTAAACGCCTCCAGACAGGGGTTGGCTGCAATTAAGAGGGTCCGCATTAGTAGTAGATGACTTTGTTAAAGTGATTTTCGTTATCCCTGCGGGGCGGTGGGGTAGCCTAGTGGTTAAAGCGTTCGCTCGTCATGCCGAAGACTCGGGTTCGATTCCCCACATGGGTACAATGTGTGAAGCCTATTTCTGGTGTCCCCCGCCGTGATAATGCGGGAATACTGCTAAAAGCGGCTTAAAACTAAACCCATTCACTCACTTGTTATCCCTGCGAACAGCGGGTTAAAGTACTACTATCCTCGTCAGGTGAGTGAGTGAGTGAGTTTAGTTCTATGCCGCTTTAGCAATATTCCAGCAATATCACGGCTGGGGACATCAGACATAGGCTTCACACATTGTAGCCATGTGGGGAATCGAACCCGGGTCTTCGGCGTGACGAGCGAATGCTTTAACGACTAAGCTATCTCAACGCCCCTTTCGGCAGATGAACCAGTGTCATATATTTTAAACTCTCTTCAATACAACTGTCCACATTAACTGAGAAAACCGGCATAAACATTTCAAAGATATCAGTGTTTATCATAATCTCGTGGCATAACCCCACCCGGTCATCCATTAAGTCGTACTAACCAGCACCGCAGTAGTATGGGTCTCCTTGGAAGGTGACGGTGAGGTTGACAGCGTTGCCGCTGTACTGTTGTTGTAGTCGTGGACTGCACTTGGCGTTGTTGGTCGTTACGCAGTTGGTGAACACTGTGATCTCACTGAATAAAAATAAATATTGCCATATACATTCTTGACTACAAGGGGCGGTGGGGTAGCCTAGTTGTCAAAGTGTTCGCTCGTCACACCGAAGACCCGGGTTCGATTTCCCACATGGGTGCAATATGTGAAGCCCATTTCTGGTGTCCCCCGCCGTGATATTGCTGGAATATTGCTAAAAGCTGCGTAAAACTAAACTCACTCACTCTTGATTACATGTATGAAGAATAAATGGGGTGGTATAAGCTATTGACAACGTAAATCTTTACCAAATTACTTATAAATGAACGGGTTGAGAATAAATCATGCTGTTACATGAGTAAGTAAATGGGTTGGATTTTACGCCGGTTTTTAGCATTTTGTCACTGTGTGATACACAAGAAATGAGCTTCACGCATTGTACTTATGTGGAGAATCGATCCCAGACCTTCGGCGAGACGCGCGAACGCTTTAACCATTCGGATACCCTACCGCTTCTTATTTCTTTGAGACCGAGAACGCGTGTACCTTAAAGGTCACATAAACCCTAGGGGGTACAAATACATAAATCACTAACTGGCATCGTTATAAATGAAACCCCGTCATTAAAACTACTCATTTCGACCTTTAATTGACTTAAATCGACCTTTTTGACAACAGTGCACAATTCTCACCCGCGAACGAAATTTCAACCAATCAGAGCGGCGCGCCTCTGTGACGTCATATGAGGAATAGCTTTGAGAGCCGATGCAGAATTCATCTACATTTTAGGGGTTAAATTATCGTGTTTACAGGCTTGTATAAACCTGAAATCGTGACAATTGTTGTGGAAAATGAAAGCTATATGTTCTCACAATCTACTGTCATTTAATTTTGTCTCCTGCTTTGCCTAGTTTCCGAGTTACAACTTGTTTTCATAGACGATTCTGTCAAAATCGATTGGTGTCGTTAGGCCCTATTTGTATAATGCCTGATCCAAATTGATCCCGTTTCTGTGTTGTTTTACCTCGATATTTAATCATGTCATGTAAAAATCTGTTTGTATTCTCAAAACAGTGTCGGCCCATAAGTTTTCACATGCAATACAGCAATTAATACTCCCCTCGTTGTAACCCGTGTTAGGTGGTATAAACCTACACATGTTATTTGTCATAATTCACTTGATGGTCAGTTAATGAATTTATAACAGGTATAATTAGTGGTAACACACTTAGATTACCCGACAAAGGTTCCCATTTGGCATTTCTTGTGTCTGGAGTAAATATTCAACATTATAAACATCGATCAAAGGATTAACCGATAACACGCTGATTGATTAATTACTTTTATCTTACACAGCGGAATTGTCAAAAGGTAGTGTTTATGTATGTAGATTTACTAATCTATACTGAATACACTCTGTCGTGTCGGTGTCTGCGTAAAAAACAACGTCCTTCTTTCAAAGGATTAACCGGCAATACATTGATTGATTGCCCATTATTGGCTAACTAAATTACTGTTTTTAAAGAAAGGCGGACATTATGCAATTAGTTGCCAGGTGTGCTATCTTGGGTGACCAATGAGACTACATGTATACACCAATACCTGAAAAGATTTATCACTTTTTCGTATATTAAACTGTTAAAAGACACATCATTTGGAACAGTTTTGTGGATATTGATGGATACATTCCTCGAACAAGGTAATGGCCTGATATTGTTCCTATAACTTTAATCTGTTTTAATTTTAATATTTGCATTTTGTTTTTATTCATTTGTCGTAGCATTCAACAGAATCATTGTTTTCGCCGTGTAGTGTAATGAGACAGACAACATGCACTAGGGTGTGTGTGCGAATTATGATTCACATTGGCAAATTATAAAATGTCTAGATATTACAGTTCTGTTATAAATTCACTATAAGTATCAGCAGATCGTCAGCTTTTTAGTTTCATTTAGTTTCAAAATGCATACAAGTGTGATAATAAACTAATTAGGATTATAAGACCAAATATAAAGACGCACATTGACTAGTATCTACATACTGGTGAGTGGACATTAACCATGTGAATGTAGCAAGAAATTTATCGCGCAGTATTGTGACTTCGACCCCCACCTCGCTTCCGTGGAAGAAATCGTTATGTTATAAGTTGTGTCATGCAAAATCCGTTTGGTTATGATTCCAATACATATTTAACAACGAGTAGAAAGTAGTCTTGATTTTCTAACTTGAAGAAAACAAACTATAATTTCATTAATTCTAACAGATGTTTTTAGTTTTAAAAATGGCGGCGCCCTGTCGGGAACATCCGCCAGTCTGAGGATAAATGGTATTTAGGTTTGTTTTCACCGAGTTACAAATCAAAACTGCTTTCTACTGGTAGTAAAATATGTATTTTATTGATGGCCAATAGGATTTTGCATGACATAGCGTATATCATAACAATTTCTCTCGTGGCAGCGAGGTGGGTGTCAATATAATACTACTTACAATATTATTGTTACTTCGACCACAACCTCACTTCCGAGGAAGAAATCGTTACGTTACAAGTTGTGTCATAGAAAATCTTTATGGTCATCAATCATATGCATATTTTACTACAACTAGTAAGTAGTTTTGATTCTTTAACTTCCGTGAAGCGATCTGAACACAAGTAATATATCGTTTCAGGCTTCCACAACGCTCGCTTCGCACTCACAAACATAACCCATTTAGCACGAACTGCGGGGTCCTGTGGAAATCTGTGCATGGGGACACCATCGCCCGACCCCTAGGAGCAACTGACGACAAAGCAACGATTCGGCATGTTGTCGTTGATGTCGAGAAATCATCAAAATGATGAGCGTGCTACACATTTTCTATACAACTAACTGAAAATCGTTCCTCATATGACGTCACTGCAGTGCTCTGGCGACAGAGTTACGTAACCTGTCTGTGGTTTCGTTGGCGGGCGAGAAGGGAAGCAGGCGACTTTTTGGCCACTTTTAATCGCTCGGTATTAATTAACCACAAGTTTTTAAAGAATAAATTTGGTGTTCCGCATAAGACTAACCACAAATCTTTCATATGTAATGGTTAAAAGAGTAACAAAACACAAAGTTTAGTGGTTCTTTAATATTGTGTTCAGAATGACTGCTGTTTTGATCCTTAACGATGCCTGGTCATTTAATTGAGCGAGCCTGCAGTGACACTGATCACATTGTGACTACCAGCCACTGGTGTAGTCTTGGTTCCATGACGTTGTCAGCTGTGTTCATGTTGCTGTAGCTGTCACATTTCAGCAGAAAACTTCATATACGATCTTGATATCAGAATTGACTTCAGTTTCCAGGTTACGACCGACGTTTTTGGTATGTCACGGTATGTTACGGTATATTAAGGTATGTCACGGTATATTAAGGTATGTCACGGTATGTTAAGGTATGTTACGGTATGTCACGGTATGTTAAGGTATGTTACGGTATATTACGGTATATTAAGGTATGTCACGGCATGTTAAGGTATGTCACGGTGTGTTAAAGTATGTCACGGTATGTTAGGTATGTCACGGTGTGTTAAAGTATGTCACGGTATGTTAAGGTATGTCACGGTGTGCTAAAGTATGTCACGGTATGTTAAGGTATGTCACGGTATGTTAAGGTAAGGTATGTCACGATATGTTAAGGTAAGGTATGTCACGGTATGTTAAGGTGTGTCACGTTATTGTCACGGTATGTAAAGGTATGTCACGGTGTGTCACAGTATGTTACGGCACGTAAGGTATGTCACTGTATGTTAAGGATGACACGATGTGTCACGGTATCTCAGTTATGTCAGGGTATGTCAAAGTATTTCACTGATGTGATATGTCACAGTATTTCATTTATGTCAGAATAAGTCACTGTACTCAGCCACAGTGTACCATGGGCCTATGGCATACATACTTCAAGTGAAGTATTTCAGATATGTTTGAATAGGTCACAGTAATCTAGTTATGCCGTGGTATGTCTGAGTCTTTTAGTTATGTCACGGTATTTCAATAAACCCAGTTTGAGGGAAATCTTGGACCACTGGCTCCTGGCACAACAAGGGCCGTAACTCGAACAATGACACGTGTATTCATGTAAAACACCCCCACGTGTGATGTGCCATATTTAAATCGCACAGAATACAAATACTGTTAAAACTACGCATGCAACGGAATCGCAATTACCCCGCGATGTTTTACTCGCATCCCCCTTTTCAAGGGGCAGTAATAGTTCTCCCCATGTTAATGCGGTTTCGCCAGTGAGTGACAGCTGCGTGTCGTGTTGTACATTTCAGTGATGTTGATACAGTTTCCCAGTACAAATAGCACTGACCCTATGGCCGTAGTTCTGTACGCGCATAGAATTACAATTAAGAGGCGTTTCTAAAATTCGCCCTTGAAAATTAGAATTTGAAAATATTTGCCCTCCAGCCTGTCTGGGAAAGTCTACTCAAGGTTATAAATAATGCACACGTATGTACGCATGACGTCAGGGGCTTTAGCTGACGAGTCTGCCGAACACGTTGGCCAGCGGTCACATTTTCATCTGTGAACCGGGTTTACTTCCAATTAGTTTGTGATCTTGATGTAATGAGAAATATATTTTGTAAATGAAGTGTCTGTATGAGTCCTTCCTAAGGCAAACAACGTACATGGTTCGATCTGTACAGATAAATATTTTTCTGGTTGTAGTAAAGTTTTAAATGTCGTATAACAATCATAGCGTGTGCTATTATTCAAACTTGATTGCCATTCCTGCATTCGTAACTACTCGTGTCATTCCGGCAAGCCGGATGGCGTCTCGTACCCCTCTCGTGGCCATGTTTACGACTGGGCTCTGTCAAAGTACAAATTAAACGGGCATGCAGCTGAAAATAGTATAATACTATTACCAAGGAAAGATAACTCTGAATTTCCAAACATAACTCCTCGAATACCTCTTTCCCGTGGGCAAAACGGCAATACAGTCATTCCCTTTGTAAATATGTTTCAGTGTTTAAAGTTTCCGGCCCTTTAGCTAAATGTTTATGTTTAAATTGTGCTTTGCATGATTTAGCAAAGTTTCAAAGTACAACGGTGCCGCCATTTTCATGGTTCGAAATGCGTTTTACTACGCGCGATTTGATTGGTTTGCCACGATTCTTGGCAATAATGGCGTACGATAGGGGTACGAGTCTTCTTGTAGGTCACGGAAAGAGGCGAGTGGTTACGAATGCCATTCCTGGTGAAACATATCAATAGCTCGATTGCGAAAATCATTAATAAAAAAATCAATATGACCAACAGTTTGGTTTAACCAGACATACCCATAACCGTGAGAAAATAATAAATATCTTATGCTTGATGCCTAAGTTACTTTGCCAATACTACCGAAGTGAACCACCATATTATAGAACAGTTTTGGAATGCGATGGCTAGGCATGTTAAGAATTCTAAGCCAGTAATTTAAACATCTTTACTGGCGGATCCAGAGAGAGAGAGAGAGAGAGAGAGAGAGAGAGAGAGAGAGAGAGAGAGAGAGAGAGAGAGAGAGAGAGAGAGAGAGAGAGAGAGAGAGAGAGAGAGAGAGAGAGAGAGAGAGAGAGAGAGAGAGAGAGGAGGGTTCTACACCCCCACCAACCCCCCTTTTTTTCTGAAAATGACTTAAGACCACATTGCGCTGGCGGAGCCAATGGGGGGTTCGAAACTTGGGTTATCCGGGGTAATAATAACCAGATTGTGCGCTTTGAGCATCCTTTGTGCTCTTTGAGGGGGTATGAAGCCTGGAAGGGCGCGTTAGAAATATTCTTAAGTATGATGATTATTATTATAATTATTCAACTGCATTCAGTGTCCTTGACCTTCCTTCATACATCTCCCACCTCACATTCCATCATGAAAACTACGTTGACATGACAACGTTGGTGTTTACACGTAGCATGTGTTTTTTCGTAATTTAGTGCGTGACCAAGGTCACCGCATGTACACGTGACTCACTGTAAATACTTCATTGAATAGAGTGGACCGACGAAGAAGCTCAACAACGCCGGATTCATCATGTGTGTGTGAGTATCTACGTATGTTGTGTGAGGCGTGTGAAGGCTTTACTGTAAAGTTCAGGACTATTTGCGGTTTGGAAAAAACAACAACCTGAATATAAGTAATGAATTAGGCTCTTGGTCGACGTGGGGGAAGACGAAAACACCATCCCGTGTAACCATATAGATTCGATATCTGTTTTAATTGCTTAACATACGATACGGAAAATATAATGGGTTTTTTAATTTAAAAATGTGATTTACTTTTACCATAGAGATTTCAGGACGCTTACTGTGAAGAGGGCCTACATGTCAAATTGAGTATTCTTCGTAAATATATTTGTTGGTTGGTTAGTTGTTTAACAGCTCACTCAGTACTTTTCCAGCTATAAGTCGGCGGTCTGTAAATAATTGAGTCTGGACTAGACAATCCAGTGATACACATCATGAGCATCGATCTACGCAATTGGGAAATATATTTGATAATCGGACGATTACACTAATAGAGTATGGATATTAGCGGAGTTTCAGTGGATGATGGAACTTTATGACGACGACGATGATGATGATGATGATGATGATGATGATGATGATGATAATTGTGATGATGAAATGTATGTGCACGTTATGTCCCAAAGCAAAAGGCGTCTATTTTCTCAGTACCTCAGTTTACATACAGATAATGCCCTTAACGAAGTTTACCATGCCACCTCAATTCACCTGTAAAATCATTTCTAGCAACGACACTAAATTGTCAGGAGAGTATGTGGAACGTGGGTTATTGGCTTCCTTGTACTTCGTGGTGCACAACGCTACTTTACCATCTCATCTTCCGAAGTATTGATAGGGCCTGTAAGTCTGGAGAGACGCTACTTCCCGTACTAAGCTGGTTCCCGGCTCTCCTTGCGCGCGTCAACTTGCAACAAGCGAGACGGGGCCCAGCTTACTTCCGGTACTAGATTTCCGGTGACAAGCGTATATTCAAGAACCATTTCTGTTTTGAAATTGCGCGACCGCCAAATATGACCAAGTGTACAACCACGCTTGGCTGTCACCAAGGGGTAGCCTAGTGTTTAAAACGTTCGCTCGTCACACCGAAGACCCGGGTTCAATACCACACATGGGTATAATGTGTGAAGACCAATTATGGTGTCCCCCGCCGTGATATTGCTGGAATATTGCTAAAAGCGGCGTAAAACTCACTCACTCACTTCAAGCAAGGAGTTTCAGTTACTCAAGCTGCAAAGGTAAAGGAAAATATTCTGGACGACGAAGGATCATGAAACATATGATCTCGAATTCGAACTTAGTACCAGTGAATCCTTGCTTGAATATTGCTAAAAGCGGGGTAAAACCACACTCACTCACTCGTAATAGTTGGCTAATTTAGGGATGGTTGGATCGGAAATTTGTTGTTCCGGTTCCGGTTCCTTACTGTCAACTGACAACCACGAGACCATTCGAGAAGATATGAAACGTTCTTTGTCACCGGAAGTACTAAGGTCTCGCGAGGTGCCGTGACCTACTTACGGGCCCTATTCTCTGCTGGATGAACAGTGTTGAGTAATCTATTTTGGTCACAGGATCTTTTATGTCGTATGGTTGACTAGATTTGTGTTTTACCATTATTGAACCTACCTACAGACTTGGTTGGAAGTCGCGGTGATGCTTTGGCTGATAGCGCTCAAAGGGTTAACACAGTCATTGAATCCAGATTCACACCCAGCGATGTCGTATGTGTCTCCTGGAACAAAAAAAAGTTAAATCTTGTAATGCAGTCAGATTTTGTAAAAAAGCCCCACCATTTGTCTTGCCAAACACTGGCATATGTACATGACATATCGGCGTTATAATGAAGATTAAGTGCCATCAGGTAGTCTGATTGAATATAATTGCGCCTGTCTGTGGGGCTAATATATACATTTATGAGCTACGATATGTTAAACTGTCTTCAGCAACATCACAGCCACGTCCTCGACACCGTAATCGGCAGTGGTTCTATACCGAGAGTGATCTATACCCAGAGCATAGCGAGCCTGACCACCCGATCCCGTTATTCGCCCCTTACAACAAGCACGGTTTGCAGAACCCGGATCTTCACGGATACTAAGTGATGACTTGTTGACTCACTCTCCGAGCAGTAGTAGGGGGTCTGCGTTCATCGTCGTGACGGTATCGGACTTCGTCTGCGTGATCAACGTTTGAGCGGTGGCGTCGCATGCCGTTGTGTTGGCTTGAAGGCAGAGCAGGTACCGGTCAAACTCCCTACAAACAAATACAATAAGAGTACAAGTACAAGTAGAAGTACAATAAGAGTTACACTGTTACAGAGATGCCAACCCTAATATAGCCCAATTAGTGAGTGAGTTTAGTTTTACGCCGCTTTCAGCAATATTCCAGCTGTATGGCGGCGGTCTGTAAATAATCGAGTCTGGACCAGACAATCCAGTGGTCAACAACATGAGCATCAATCTTCGCAATTGGGAACCGATGACATATGTCAACCAAGTCACCGAGCCTGCCCAATTAGTATTTTAATCAAAAACAGATGCAAAAAATTTGCATTTTTATGCCACACTTAGTATTAACTTTCCAAGTAATTTTCATATTTAATAAAAAATATATAGATATTCTAAGAGCTTGTTATCAACAGTGTAGTCACCTAGATCAGTAGTCAGTATCCACATATAGCTTGATACTGAATAAAATGTGGTTGAAATTTATTGTGTATGGTACGTATGCTATTTGATAATTTAATGTGTTTTTTTTAAAATTCGTATGTTTTTACTGCTATCGTAGTCACGGATGTTGTGTTGTTGTTTCGTAAAGAATACGATAAAATCGTATGAGTTGGCCTCTCTGCACTGTAATCATTATCAATATATAAGCACTAAAGGGTTTCAGTGGGTCAATGGACACAGGCGCAAGGATTCACTGGTACTGAGTTCGAACTCGAGATCATATGTTTTATGATCCTTCGTTGTCCCAGATTATTTTCCGTTAACTTTGCAGCTTGAGTAACTGAAACTCCTTGCTTGAAGTGAGTGAGTTCCGTTTTATGCCGCTCTTAGCAATATTCCAGCAATATCACGGAGGGGGACACCAGTAATGGGCTTCACACATTGTACCCATGTGAGTAATCGAACCCGATTTTTCTGCGTGACGAGCGAACGCTTTAACTACTAGGCTACCCCACTACCCCCATTGCTTGAAGCAGAATAAGGTACCGACACGTTAGGCCAGTGGGCAGTGCGTGCACTTGTAACGCCTTAGGTCTGAGTTCGATTCTCATCCAAACACTTTACATCGTTTATGATACTAGGGATTTTCGCATATTTTGTTTCCATCTTTCAGTGTAACTGCTGCTCGCTGTATCTTATATTGGTGCACTTGCATATTGCCTTGTGTACACTTACTGACAAGACCCCGTTGTTGTCGGCGTGAACTGCGCTTCGTAGTAGATGTTGAGACAGTAGGACAGGGCGTCGCCACAAGGGTCGTTGAAGGCGGCGTTGTTAGAGTTGGCTGAAATTGTCACACCGATTTGTGTAAGTATATTTTTTGTTTGTTTAACACCAACTCTTTATTCCTGCTATGTGACGGTTGTCTGTAAATGATAGAATCTGGGCCAGGCAATCAAGTGATTGACATCATGAGCATCTGTCTATACGTAATTTGGATACGCTGACATGCATAGAAAGAGTTAGCAAGCCTGATCACCCGATTCCGTCAGCAGCGCCTTACAACAACCATGATTGTTGAAGATCAATTCTAACCCGGATTAACAACGTGTACAAGTATGTACTTATACTGCCTTATGTAAGACAGACTGGGTAATAAGACTGACTGACTGACTGAGTTTGGTTTTACGCCGCTTTTAGCAATATTCCAGCAATATCAAATATCACGGCGGGGGACACCAGAAATGGGCTCACTCATTGTACCCATGTGGGGATTCGAACCCGGGTCTTCGGCGTGACGAGCCAACGCTTTAACCACTAGACTACCCCACCGCCCCTGGGTAATAAGAAATGAACTAAAGTACCTTTACACCGAAATAGTGAGTGATTATGGTTTTACGTCGCTTTTAGCAATATTCCAGCAAAAAGACAGCGGGGGGCACCAGAAAATGGGCTCCACACATTGTACCCATGATTGGAATCGAACCGGGGTCTTCAGCGTGACGAGCGAATGCTTTAACCATTATGCTACCTCACCGCTCCTTACACCGAAATAGAAATGATTTGCAGAAACATGGATAAACATACGTTTATTATCTCGACCATGTCTAGTAAGCAGCAGAACGTGACTTACGCAATGTGCAGTTATACGGAGCAGCTTTGTAGACGCCGATGATGTCGTCCATGGCAGCGATGATGTCTGCTTTTTCCATGAGGGCGCAGCTGGCTGTCTCCGTTGCCACACACTCGAGTGCCTTGTCCACAGCTCTGGGGGTAGAGATGCGCTGCCTTAACTTACGCTCACTTCGGTAGAATCTAGCACATGTGCCATGTCCCGTATAGTGAGAATATGGCTGAATACCTGCGTGCCTAACACATTCTCCATGGCGAAGGCATTTTTTACTGACTGGGGCAAATAGAAAATGCAAACAATTTGATGGTTCCTTCTTTATATTGTGATCCTAGTTCGGACACGTAATGTTGAAGCACACTAGTCATCCCATTTGTGATTCTAGCATTACGGCTTCACACATTACGCATATTACGTACGATATGTATACATCTTACGTTGCGTGTACTACTTACTCTACGTATACTGCCAACTCAACGGATACTGGCTACTCAATGTATACTGCCTACACTACGAATAAAACCTACGTTACACACACAACCTACGCTACGTATACAACCTATACTACGTATACAACCTACGCTACCAAACTGACAACACTACGAATACAACCTAGGTTACGCCCACAACCTACGCTACGTATACAACCTATACTACGTATACAACCTACGCTACCAAACTGACAACACTATAGTCTACGAATACAACCTAGGTTACGTATACAACCTACGCCACGTATACTACCTACACTATGAGTGAGTGAGTGAGTTTAGTTTAACGCCGCACCCAGCAATTTTCCAACTATATGGCGGCGGTCTGTAAATAATCGAGTCTGGACCAGACAATCCAGTGATTAACATCATGGGTATCGATTTACGCAATTGGGATACGATGACATGTGTCAATCAAGTCAGCGAACCTGACCACCCAATCCCATTAGTCGCCTCTTACGACAAGCATTGGTTGCTGAACATAAATTCTATCCCTGGTCTTTTTGGTTGTACCACTTTGAGCTATAATCAGACATAGGTGTATACTCTCTTTTGGTCGGAAGTTTACATGTAAAAAGTATAGCTAAATCACGAAAGACAATTCACACGCATAACAACCGCAGATCAGAAACAGACCATACTCTTGAATATTGGATTTAACCAGATAATGAAACAGGACTCAATACGTTACGATACACAACGCAATTTCAAAGTTCAAAACGCAGCTGTATGAAATACACTGCCATTTTATAAACATCTTTTGTGTGATTTCTTTGAGGGGCAGTTTAGAAAGATGAAGGAAAAACAAGTTTTATGGATAGTCAAGCTCTGTATTGCAATGATTGCGACGTTTCGGTATAGGTACTAACTTGCTTGATAACGGTATTAGTACCTACACCGAAACGCCGCACTCATTGCAATATAGAAATTGACTATCCATAGAACTAGGTTTTCCTTCATCTTTTGTCTGGAATATTTTAACAACCATCAACATGGTTGCGTGCATACCGTAAACGCAAGAGTCCGGATAAGCGAGTTTCGACTATAATTATATTTTAGCTTAGTAGTTTAAATTAACAGCGAGGAAAGCACCACATTAGGCAGATCAAAGAAAACACCAAGACACGGTAGAATCCAGAATCCAGGGGACCCCATTCATTGCGAGAAATACTTACGCGCAGATAGCGGGGTTGTCACCGGAAGCGGCGTCGATCTCGGCAAACATCGTGTTTCCACATACATTCACGGTATCTTCACATGCTCCCGACACACCCTGAGCGAGGAGAAGGGACGAGGCTGAAAAACAAAACATTATCATTGTTATACAAATATAAATACCGCTGTCATTCGTATTCAAAGTATTTCGTGTCAAATTGTTATCGCAAAGGCATTTTGCTTGAAATTTCGGGTTGGTGTTTTGTGTTTCCTAACAGATCTCGACCACATGTCTCAACTACTCGACGACCAATAATTATCATGTACACTGGCTTCTAACGCGCGGTAGAACAGGTTTGCGTCCCCGACTGGGTACAAATGTGTGAAGTCAATTTATGGTGTCCTCATATTGCTGTAACAACACTGAAAGCGGCGTAAAATCATACTCGCTCATTCACCTACAGACCGTCACATCAAATGAGCAAGCCCATTTCTGGTGTCCCCCGCCGTGAGATTGCTGGGATATTGCTACATGCTTCGTAAAACCCAACTCACTCACTCACCCAGAGGAGCAATAGGTTTAATAGCTGTTGGAATATTTTTCTTATTTCACGATAATTTTATTTTTATACTTTATAAATATATATGTATCATATTGTACATATATCTATTTAATTATAATGGAGTATACATGTGGTTATATCAAACTGACCCTAAATACAATTATAAAATAATGAGGAACCAACTTTTAAATGCCTAAAACAACAAATGTTTTAGTTTTTACTGGTCATAATTTATTTTGGCTCAGCTGATGGTGAAAAATCCAAAACCCGGTCTTGGGTGTTGGGGGGTGTTGGGACATAATTTTGTAAGTAATCCTGGGTCCCGATCCTTAAAACCTTCGTAGCCCTACGACATTCGTAAAGCAAGGATAAATTATAGAGTTACTACAGGTCGTAACGTTACGTTTTGTGTCCTGATCCACAAAACCTTCGTAGCGCTACGACATTCTAGGAAAAGCTACGAAAGCTAGGATAAACTATAGAGTTACTACAGGCCGTAACGTTACGAACGCTTTCTGGATCGGGGGCCAGGGCCCTTATTCTCGAAACGTTCGTAGCTCTAAGAATTCTTAACTTTAATCGTAGCTAATGTGTAAAGAATGGGCTAAAGAAGTTAATAGGGCTTCGAAAGTTTCGAGAATAGCTGGCCAGGTCCTTAGTCCAGCCTCTGTTTGTATTCTCAGAGTATACGCCCCGAGTCGAGGTGGATGGCTGGGGGATGAGTGAGTTTAGTTTTACGCCGCTTTTAGAAATATTCCCGCAATATCACGACGGGGATGGGATGCCCATGTAGGGAATCAAACCCAGGGCCTAGATTTTCGAAGTTCTCTTAGCGCTAAGATAGTTGTAAGTTAATGCTAATGTATGGCAGTTACTACTATCTTAGCGCTAAGAGAGCTTCGAAAATATTGGCCCTGGTCTTCGGCGTGACAAGCGAACGCATTAACCACTAGGCTGCCCCTCCGTCCCCTGAACGGCTGGGGATATATATATGCGACGTCATAATTACGATGGTATCGGTGATAATCTTGAAGAGATCACCTACCCTATACTTAGCAAAGTGTAGACTGTAGATTGAGTGTGAAGGGCACTAATGCAACCACCCACAGAGCGTAATGCTTTCAAGATACGAACGTTCATCGCCGAACGATTACGAGATGGGTTAGTGAGTGAATGATGAGTTTTTTCCACTGCCAGACCACAGCGTTAGAAGACCCGGGTTAGAATTGGTCTTCAGCAACAAAAGCTTGTCGTAAAGAGGCGACTAACGGGATGGGGTGGTCAGGCTCGCTGACTTGGTTGACACATGTCATCGTATCCCAATTATGTACACCAATGCTCGTGCTGTTGAGCATTGGAGTGTCTGGTCCAGACTCGATTATTGAGACCGCCGCCATATAGCTGGAACATTTCTGAGGGCGGCGTTAAACAACAAACAAAAACGAAGCCACGCCAATTTCATATACGGTAAACACCTGATTTGGAATCTGAATATAATGGAATCCGATTACGAACATTGGTCTGTCAAAGGACATTTCTGTTAAGAATCACACCATTGTAACCATCCGATACCCATTATTAACAGGCATGGATAAGGACATCTAAGCTACTGAAGAGTCTCACGATCGATCCCCACAAAATCCCCATTAAAATGTCAAGACTAAATACATTTGCCAAAGTTCCAAAGGATTAATAGCGGACACAAAACGTAACCGTTTTGAATATACGTCGTTTTCGATTCTAACGGGACTGGGTTAATTTCTTAACCATATTAAGGGTAGCCAAGTGGTTAAAGCGCCGTTCGATTCCCCACGTGGGTACAATGTGTGCAGCCCATTTCTGGTGTTCCCTGCCGTGATGTTGCTGGAATATTGCTAAAAGCGGCGTAAAACAAAATTCACTCACTCACTTAACTATATTACATGGTTATTGCTTCCTGAAATCCCAACAGAACAATGACAAGTCGTTGCGCAGCATAATGCTTGAAAGAGTTTCAAAATGCATGGAAACGATCGACAGCACAACGGCAGCATTCCTGACATTCCGCTACCGTTCCGCGGCCCAACGCCCGGAGAACAATATACTGCATATTCTGAAAACGGAACTTTCAGCACTTGGTTTAGTAGCAAGCGATGTCAGTTGAACTTTTGAATAAGAAACAACTCAAGAAATTTTATCAGTGTTAATGTTTCGATTTGTTTAAGATTTTGTCTAGATCGACTGTTTGACCATCATTTGAGGCATGAATTATGTGCTGTTTAGCAGTGTATATGTTCAAGTTTTCATGAACACTGCATGAATATAAGATATCTGTTTATGGAACGATATAGAGAGACATGCAAGCCCCGTTAATTTTGAGAATAAGATAATACCAATATGTACCATGGAATGTAAATAATCAGATCAATTTAAAAAGCGGTTGAAAAATGTTGTAATATAAATTATTTGTATTGATTCTAATTTGGTTAATGCAGGTAAATACTGTATCGGACGCAAATTTATGAATAATAGTTACATATGATTTTTGAAAATATGTTCATTATTATTTCATTTTTTCATAATTCATATTACAAATAAATGAATTTTTAAACATTACTTTGCGAAATATCATTTAGATTCTTTGTTCTAGTTTGGAACTATTTTCTCATTTTCTAAGGTAATTTAAAGAAAATATTCCAATATTTTTTTTAAAAATGTGTGAATTACAAAGGAGAACACTGAAGCTGTTTACTCAAACAATCAAACAATTAGCAATATATGGCTACTATCTAACTCCAAAACCAGAGACTAACACGATTATCCAACGAAATAGTCTTCCAGCGGATAACTGTGAAACAGAAAAGTTAATAAATACCAATTAATCATTTTGGTAAAGAATACCAATGTTTTTTAAATATGTTTTATTAAACAAAAATCACAGAAATAGCTCAATTTATACAACCATACCAGTAAAGACGCAAAAATATTATAGGCACGCTAAAGTAACAAAACTATGTATATTGTTGAATCAAGTTACATATATATATTCACAAATACACATATAAATAATAAAGATAAACATAATAATTGTATTCTTACCTTGAAAAAGAAACAAAACAACCGCCAATTTTCTTGAAATCGGTAGAACATTTCCATAGAATGTGTTTGGAAACATTATGAGTCGAATCACCCAACGTGCAATCCAGCTTTTCGCTTAAACTGTACCGTGACTCTGATTGACAAAACTCTCGCCCACTGTTAAATATAAGCCGGCATCTGCAGCGTATCTTAGTACCCAGCCAATATGACAACAAATACTAGAGTTCCCGTGCGACAATCGGGATCGTTTCTTCCACTATAGAGAGCGAACAGTGATGCTCTCGGGGCATACGCTGTCTCTTTGTACGATCATGCCCGCGGCTCCCAGTTCGCGGGACTGGTGTCACGCATTCGACCCGGGGACGCTCATGCGTGCTAAAAACACTGGGCCTTCTTGTTTCATTCGCCTCCTGATGACGCATATTAGGAGATATGTATATATCTAATCACCTCGAACTTATGCCGTAGATAGGCTTTGAACTATGATGCATATTTCGACTGTTGTTTACCGATTAAATTCGAGAAGTTTGGTCGATGGGATATTTACAGCTACTTGTTTTAGGGTCACGTATTTCTGGGGGAAATTGACTTGTTTAGTCTTTGTAGGTGAGCGTGGATGTGAGGCATTAATGTGAAGATATTGAGTGATTTCGAAAATATCTAGAACATCTCGGTGAACCGGGTATTCACATTCTAAAACATAGTGTATATCTAAATGTCGCGGTCATCGATTCCAGTCTCTTGTTGTCTAGGACAAATGTACTGCCATTTTGCTGGAAATATGATTTTTCGAAGGTGAAAATATATGTTGATTTTAAAAAGATTAAAAAAATACGAAATGTTAATGGTGAAAAATACCACTCAAATCTTTTGTTGGGACGACAATAAAACCCGTGGAACTAGAGCATGGAACTTGAGTTGATTTAAATAAAGGATAGATAAACAACCCCCCGCACAAAATAAACCCCAAAAACAAAACAAAATAAAAAACAACAAAAACACACACAGAAAAACACACACACACAAAAAAAACGGTACTAAAAAAACCCACCAAAAACCCCAAACCAAAACAACAACAAAACAAAAGAAACCACAAATGACAAAACATTATAATAGAAGAACAAAACGTTTGACGAGCTTCTTATGTTCCTGTTTACAATCACTTGGGAAACCAAATGAGATGGACCAATGAAAGAAGATCCGTAAAGAGTTGAGAAAGTGGAATAAAAAACAACCAACCAACCTGCTATCCAGATATGTGATTTGAAAATTAATTGACGTATAAGTAGCATACACTGATGTGCCCTCTAACCCCCAACCCCCAAAAAAAAAAACCCCAACAATTCCAAAACCCAAACCAAAACAACACAACAAAACGACAAGAAAACAAAACAACAACAAAAAGCAAAACCAAAAACAACAAAGCAAACGTAACAAAAAGCCCCGAAATTTCAAAGCAACCAAAATACCCCACAAAATAAGAACAAAAACAACAACAAC